TTATGCTTAAATGCATGTCTTAGTATTTATGCCTGTTTTCAGTATAATTTCTAAGTACCTTACTTTGATTTTTAGCACTGTGTATCATCTATGGGTATTGTTTGTATACAATGTGAACCATGGTTAAGCTTGTTAAGTCAAGTCAAGTTTGTAGTGTGTATCAAAACTGGGGATTGATACATGACAAATATGGCAGCCTGGAAATCTAAGACAATAATATTATATGGAGGAATTAATATTGATATGTCAAACTTATCATATCTAATTATGGCTAGTAGAGTCATAAACGTATGATTGACTAATTATAGGATGTTTGATGCATTGAACACCAAGGAAGAGTCATATAGGAACACCAACAAATATCATCAACAAACATCAAACAACACCAACAAACAGACACTCTACAAACTCTTTCACTGTAGCAACTCTAAATTGAAATTAGAATAATTTTGGAATAAAAACAACCTTACCGTAAATACAGAAAAGTGGTTTTGCTCAACAAGTTAAGACAATGCTATCTAGATGAGAAAAATTGTTTTGTTTAGTCATAGTTAAACTTGTGAAWCTAGCTTATTACGTGTACTAGTATAATATACTTACTCATCTCAGCTCAATTCCACGGCTGCCACTCATTCACGTAATCAGCTCGGCACTCAGATAAGTAAAAGATTACTGTACCATTCTTTTTAAGTGTCCGAAGTCAAGAAGTTTCGGCCTTCCGCCTTTACTTATAAGCTTTAATAAGCAGATTGATGCTCCAGAACACCGCTGTCTTGACTCCAACTACTTGAAATATCAAAGGCCATGCAGAAAGAATTGTCTTGCAACCGTTGAATCTGAGTTTTACTCAATAACATTTGCATGATTTGGAAAGAAAGCACATACAACTTTCCATTGCTAAAGACGCCGGCCATCTTGGAAATATTTAGAAAACCCGGGGGGTGCATTTTGTACAAAACAAGTTCGTTCGCAGGGGAGGGGGGATCGTCAATACTGGCGCTCATTATTTTTCCAATTTTGGAAGTATGAAAAACGAGTTTTAAAAAATTGAAACCGTATTCAAAGTTTATCTTTTTGAAATGAAAAAAATGAAAAACAAAATTTGAAATCTGAAACTCATTTTTCAAAAATAGAATTTTGAAAATCACGATCAAAATTCAAATTCCAATTTTCGAAATTTGAAATGATAGGCCTAATTGCTATATTTTTATATTTTGAAATATATGAAAATTGAATGGCGGAATGGTACACGCATTCTAGTGGTTACTATCATTAATAATTATACATCTAACTTGTGTGAGAAAATACCACACATATTTCATTTGATTTGATGTCCTTTGTTTCTTTGCTTCTGATATATCAAATTTGAATTTCTTAAAAAAATTGGCTAAGGTTGATAAATTTGCAATATTCTACCATATGATGCTCTGTTTTGCCTGTCATAAATATGAAATAAAACTCATATAAGATTGTTTTTAGCTACAGACAGGGGCTAATTCAGCTGGTGGGCGCAGGGAGTTTGCAATAACCCCCTCGCTCCCTCGAGATTTAGTATGCTTCCTTTTATTTGCCTCCTTTGTCATGGTTGCTTGGAGAGCTCCCTGGCTGAGTTCCCTGCACCCCTCCCTGGAAATAATGTAATCTTCACACAGTGCTTTACTGCATTTAACATCGGGTACAACAAATTAACAACATTTCTTTTGATTTCATGTAATGCCATCTGATCTTCTTATAAAACAGGTGGGGAAGGGGGCTATAGCTTCCCAATATATTGCTCAGAACACAAATTTCGAAATAGTATTAACGTTTTTTTGATGGAATCCGCTAATTTTTCAAATGTTATCCGAACTCGACTGCTCCTCAGTCCCTGATTATTATACTTTATGTTTTATCAAGCGCCACAAATACGTGCGTCCACCCCTAGCGTTGATTGTTACAAACTAGATCTTTTAGCTATGTTATTGCAGGTCGATTTTAATTTTTTTTTTGTATTATTGTTGTTGCATAAGCTTGCATACTTTATTACATTTTCAATTTCTTTAAAACGCTCGTAAATAACGATGGAACCGAAAATATACAGAAACTAGACGCATAGCTGCGTGAACTCGGGGTTCTTCTTGAATATATCATAAAACGATGAAGTGACAACAATGAGTGTTKTAGTCGAAGAATTGAGAAGAATTGGACTATATTGAACCTTAATAAAGTTAATASTCATACTATCAAAAGGCGTAAAGCAAAAAATACTTCCTGGAATAAAAAATAATAAAAAACAGTGTACTCAGCATAAATATCATGAAAAAATTGATCATCAGCAAGCCGGTCTTTGATAGTCACATATGAGACCATATGACAGGCTGTAAACACAGAGTCTTTTATCTTCTCCGCTCTTCCATTCGTCGGCTTTTCCTCAGAAGAATCTGTTCGCATTCCTTAGACGAGACCTTAGTAGTTTCAGAGCCTGCATAAGTTCGTATACATGAGTTCGCTTGTGCTAAGATAGGTAGCTTGTTTGATAGACAATTCTCGATAGACTCGATCTCGATAGACAGTAAGATAAATTCTCGATAAATTTACGTTATCTTCTGAAATTCCTTTTTCGGAAAAACGCTGGTCATATTTTAGTGTGGCTATGCCACGAAAGTGTGGATATTTTTAAGTGATTTGAGCGTATTTGTAGACGTTGAATTTCTGTCTTCTTCCACCTCGCGTATTACAGTCTCGCCGACTATTCTCATCGGTTTGCACATGAAGTCATCAGTCGAAAAAAATTCTAAAATCACAGACACACAACATTAAAGTACTAAAATACCTTGAAGAGCATAATAGAAGTTCTCTCTGAAAGTTTCAACTATTTTTGCTGTTTATTCGTTGAGTTATTAACGTTCANAAATATGTCACGCAATACTGTCAAGCTACTTGAAACACGCCAAATTAACCTCGGAAAGCCTATAAATCTTAAAGCAACTATAGTCTCAGCATTAAATTAAATTTTTAGAATGATATTGTTAGAAAACTGAAGCAAAATCATTACTTTTGAGCTTATTTCGACACTCGGAGTTACTGTCCGCGTGGTTGTGTACTGGATAGTACACCAAGGCTTTCCCATACATTCCCTTGTAAAGTAAGACCATATTCAAACGCTTATATTTTTGCTAAAAAATCGCAGTTTGACTTCAAACTTTGCATAATTGTTGGGAATTATATGCTGTTTTTGGCCATGAACATGAAAAATTCATTTAGATCTTAAAACACAGCCTTTTGTAGTTATTTCTTGACCTGTCTAAAACGCATTGAGCCGTGATAATCCCATACATTCTTACCAATTTTCGTTTGCGTATTTCTGTTAAAAAGCATTATTTTGGCTCAAAATTTCGCAATGATACTTTCATTTAGATGTTCTATCGAGGACAATAATAATATTTYGCTAATTTGGTCTCTAAATAGCATTTTTAGAATAACACGTGATTATGAGCTTGGGCTACCTGTGGACAATTTGTGACTGATAAGCGACGAAAAAAAAAAAAAAAAAATAAGAAGCCCGAAATTTAAACTCTGGGTTCCACAGGAACCCCGAGTAATAAAGGAATGCACGATAACTTTTCGCCTGTAAGTAACAATGCGACAATACAGCTGCTCGCGCATGGTCATGCAAAATGCCCCCTTGTTTGCATTTAGATTTTTGTGACATTCGCGAACAGCCGCCCGAGTTACTCTCAGTATCTTTGCGTTTTCTTTTGTCGTTGTCGTTGTTAGGGATTGCGCAAAATTTAAAAGAAAGTTAATTACTGGCAACATGGATGACGATATCAATAAAAAGTTAAATCCAAAACTGATAAATTTTAGGAAAAGTCCCCCTCCCCTCCCTCACCAACAAATAGAGATAAAGTAATGTTCTAGTTAATTTTAATCGTTGGCCCCTTATTTAAGCACATAGAATTAGATTTTGGCCCCCACCTCTCTGGATTCTCAACCCCCCTTCTCATAAATATTGCACAGYCCCCTATTGTTGAATCTTGTTTCCATCTTACCTTCCTCMAATTTTGTTTCTGATTGCGYGAAGGAGACTTCAACATAAAAAGAAAAGTTAAATATCAATGTTACTCCCTATTAGTTCTCAAGATGTAACTTGATACTCACGCCTCCAGCAAATCAGGCGATTTTGAGCGCTTTTTAGAACAATTTTTATTCAAAATACTCTTTTATTCTACAAATACGAAAAAAGGATATCTACAGAATTTAAAATTGTAAACCATTTCTATTGCTATTCAACCGGTCATAGCTAGGCGTGGTTAAGTTATGGGAGAAATCGAGAAGCCCGGAGCTAAGAGCGGAATGCGAAGGAGAGTTTGCTTCGTCAATATGTGCTGATGTAATACGTCGCTGATCAAGAGAAGGTGGTTGGATCGAAGCATATTTTGCCCTGGTTTGATATACTTAAAGAAGCCCTGAATGCAAGTGTTTACGGCTTAAAAATATGCTGAATTGAAGCCCGTGCATATGTTATTGGGTTGAACAACACACTCCCGAGGGAAAAATATGTTTAATTTAACTCACGTCTGCAATTAGCGGTATTTATAGCAATGAAAATAGCACTGAAAAAATGATATCAGAAACACGTCTTACCTGTTGCGGCCTTTGACAGACATCTATACTAAAACTATCGCCCAGAACAACACAAGTGAGTGAAACCAAGAGTACAGCGAGAAGAAGCAGTTTGGAAGTCATTTTTGATAATTGCCGGTAAAAGAGATTATGTCAAAACCTCACAGGTATGAGGCACATCTGAGACAAACCTGTCTTTTTTTCTTTTTTTATACAGATGATTCCTAATGACTAATTTTATAAAAGGCTTTCACAGTTGTCATTGGCAGATGCTAGGAGATATTTTGATCCTTTCATTGTAGTTCGCGCATGTCTCACGCAAATTTTTTTTCTTACTTTCAAGCTAAACATTTTACAATTGTTTTGTGTACAAGATGTTTCATTATAATAAAGGACAAATAATCAATAGAAAAATAATGAAAGGCACTACCGATTCAAAATTCAAAAAAAGTAAAGAAGGCTTTTATCTACAGTTGCATATAGCATGTAACAACGATGTGGGATTTTTCGGTGTTTCTACTGCTAATTAAGTCAATGTTATTCTACTGTCGGGTTGTTTTTGTAGTTGTTCGGTACAGGAAGAGAACTATTAATAACATGCATTAAAACACCGTCCTGGTCGGATAAAGAGGACATTAGATGGGCGCGCAGGGATACGGATTTTATCTTCGAGTGTCGAAAAGATCTCTCACAAGTCAGCGTAGCGAGATTTATAACACGAGATAAAATTCGTATCTCCAAGCGAACATGTAATATTGTATTTATCATATAGTTGTATATGAAAGCAAATTATGTCGTAAAATCTCTTTTTTTTCCTACTTCCACTATATAGGGCAACCTCGAATGTGTTACTTTCACTAGTGAAAATATATACTTTATGAAATGGGGAAATATATTTCCATAGATAATTATATGATAAATAAAGGTTTTTCCCTTGCTTTAACCTTATTGATTGGGATATAATAGAGCTTTGCAGATGGTTTTAATGCATTGACGAAAACAATTCTAATGAATTCTAAATAACTCAACATATGTTAAATTCAAGCTGATCAACAAGAAAGTCTTTCTCGTTTAGTAAATTGAAATGAAGAAATAAAGAGATAAAGGAAGAAATAAAGAAATACATATTAAGTAAACGAAAGAAGATAGAAAAAAAGAAAGAATATACGTGATATTTAAGTAACAATGCGCTAAAGAACTAGGGAGCTCTCTATTGTTCTGCGGCATAGCAAGTTCCCCATGTACGAATGTCTTGGTTTTCACACTGATTATGTATTAACCTGTGGGTAACACATTTTTGAAATAAA